ACAGCCAAGGGACTCGGCAGGGCTGGGCCTCTTTCTGCAGGATCGGGGACCTGGAGGGCATGGGGTGGGGGGATGCACCTTCCTTCTGGCCCTGGGGGACCCAGATGTTGAGGTAGAGGCAGTCCTCGGAGCCCTTGGTATTTAACTGGGTGAGAGTGACTTGCAGGCATGGCTGCTTGAAGTCCTTGGCCTTCAGGGTCCCTGTGGGTGACCAGAGGGGCTGGCGTGAGGATGGTGGCCCCATACCCCACCGCAGGCACAGGGCCAGCCAAGCACCCCCACACCGTGTCCCACCTTGCCAGCCAGGATGCGGCTGGGGGTTCTCCAGGGCCTTGGGCGGGGCGGCGAAGGGGATGCCCTTGAAGATGTCCACAGAGCGGCCGCCAATGCCGAAGAGGCCGAGCTTCTTGTTGACGCCCTCCACGAAGCCCCCTTCCGTGTGCACCATGCCCAGCTGGGGAGAGGGCCAGGCTCAGGGGGCGCAGGCTGGGTGGCCAGTGGGGTGGGGCCACCCCAGCAGGCTCTAGGGTCCAGGACAGCTTCCAGGTGGGTCCCCTAGTCTCATCCTCCTGTAGCTGGGGGTTCCTGTGGAAGCCCTGCTCCTAACCCCATGGCAGGGCCCTGAGGAAGGAGACCCTGGAGATGCCCCGATGCTCCTGAGTGATCATAGAGGGGCCCCGGCCAAGGTCAAGATGGTAGTTGTTGCCCCCTCTCGGGGACTGGGGACTGGGGACCAGGGACCGGACTGCAGGGTAAATAGATTGAGGTCCACACCCCTGTTCTGACGCTGGGGGCTGTGATGGGCAACCTGCTGGCCTGCTCAGGGCCCAGCTCCCTTCTGTGCGGGGCCACGGCCATCCCCGGACAGAGGAACACCCTGAGGGCCCTGGTGGCCAAGGCGGACTCCGCACATCAGCACTGAGGACGCCAGTGACCCTGGGTTTTGTTTGTGTTTGGCGTCAGTCACCCTGTGTGCCCTGAGAGCGCCTGTACCAGAACTTATTCGTGGTTTCTGACGTTCAAGTTCGCGGGCGTCCTGTATTTGAGCTGCATCTGGACCATCGTGTGAGCGGGGATGCAGGAGGCGAGGAAGGGCCAGG